TAATCTCACTTTCCTATATACAGACACCCTACTTTTTATTACCTTCCCATGCAAATGCACTTAATTTAGACCCTTGGGTTGGTGCCAACCTTTCTGCCATCATGTCGGCAGTTAATGCTGTCGCAAGAGTGTTTACTGGACATGTTGGCGATAAGCTTGGTAGGTTCAACAGTCTGTTTCTCTGTACATTTCTGTGTGGTGCAAGCTGCTTGCTCATTTGGACCAATGTTCATAATGAAGGAACCCTTTGGGCATTTGCTGTTATCTATGGTTTCTTTGGTGGAGGTTATGTCGCACTCTTCCCTGCAGTCCAACCACAGGTCGTTGGCCTTGAGAATATTGGTCCAGCTATTGGATTACTTTACACCACTAATATATTTGGATATCTCTTTGGTACACCTATTGCTTCTGCACTCATCAATCTAGAGACACCACCCAATTATCTTAATGGTGCATTATGGGCAGGAAGTACTATTGTTGTCGGTTCCTTGTTTGCAGGATGGCTTAGAATCCTAAAAGGCGGATTTAAGTTTATCAAGATTTAGGTCATTTATGTGTATTTTGTAGATAAAAGGAATTTTAATTTATATAACGCGTTTGTTTACGCGTGACGCGTAGTACGTACCTATCATTTTCTTAATAGCGTAGTTTTAAAAAGATGAACATACTCTGTTATCGGATTATGTGTATATATGACCATCATGAACGCACACCATGTCCTAATAAAATCGACCTTATATTGTAGTAGATTTATCAAAGAAAAAAAGAAATTTGAAAAAAAAAATACAGTTTTACATAAAACCTGAAAAAACCTGAAAAGTGAAAAGTTTTTTTTTTTTATTCCTTTTTATACGAAATGTATTCAGATATTTTAATAAAGAGGTTACAGAAAGAGCTTCGTATGTTGTAATTGTATACTTGAGAAACATTATTAATATAAATAATAGGAAGTCTTGAAAGAGAACCACCACCGGGAATCACTTGCTATCCAAAAGAAGACGACATTACCCAGTTAGAAGCATGTAAGCAACCTTAAGAAAAGCAGTAGTTGTATATATAACGTAAAACACTCTATTAGATATCAAAGGGCCACCTGATACGCCTTATGAGAAGGGGCTATTCAAACTTGATATTCAGATACCTTTAAAATATCCATTTGAGCCACCTCAGATTCGCTTTAAAACACTCATTTACCATCCCAACATTGACGACAGTGGACGCATTTGTGCAGACATTTTAAAAACGGGTGGGTGGAAGCCTGCACTTAATCTCTCAACCACTTTAATATCCTTATCTCAATTACTTGCTCATCCAAATCCTGACGATCCTTTGGATGCTGATATTGCAAAGGAGTATTATATAGACTACCCTCAGTTTAAACAAAAGGCTGAGGAATACACATTGAAATATGCCACAAAAGATTCCGCTGAAGATAATAATAATAATAATATCAATAACTTCCTCAAGACAGAACAAGAGGATGAGAAAGAGGATAGTTATGAATTGACTATACCCAATAAAGCATCAACAGCACTACTACTACTTTCAAAGAAAAAGAACAAGAAACAAGGCACAACCAAGTGCTCATTGGCTGAGAATGACGCAGGATCCATACGCACAAGCAGCACACTCGAGTCTACTGAAACACTGTCGACGATTGAAAGCAAATTACCAGAGAAAGTGGAGCAGACTTCACAGAATGCTTCAACAGAGGACTTGACAAAAGATCAGATTAAAGAAGAACATGATGAAGCTCCAGAAAAACATCTTCCTGTGGTGGACATAAGTAATCAACAGCCAAACGGTCAAAATAATGAACAGAAATGTACCAAAAGAAGACCTTCTCAGCACAAGTCGAAGGATAGAAAGCAAAAGTTAAAAGAAAAGGAGGTGGCTATTGTTATTGATCACATTGAAGAAAAGGAAGCAGAGAACTTGGATACTACAAATTATACTGAGGCAATGAATAGCTATAGTCGTAAGGAAGAATTAATATCAACTCAGCTTGAGGATGGCCCTGATGGTCACCCCACATTATTTGATGGCAACACAAAAGCAACTGGAAAAAACGGGGTTAAACGTCCCTATAGTGCACTCGAGCTTTTGGACGTCATTGAACTTTCTGACGACGACGACGAAAGTGACGGTAATAATAAAGACCAAGATGCATTTTCAGAGCCTCCGTTGTATACACTAAGATTATCCAAGAAACTGTCGCGAACAACGCTCAATTTAAGCAAAAAGAAGAAACCCACTGGGAATTAATCACAGTCAGCCTAAATGGCTTGTACAGTCACACCATTCCCACCTCCTCCTTCTCTCTCTTTGTTTATTATAAAAAGGGAGGTTGCTGTATAAATATATACGCATTTTTTCATACGAAATTATTCGACTATAATATATCAACATGATTCCATCAATTCCTTTACTCGAAACCCTTGAAATCACATTAACTAGTACGGGCGTAGCTGAACTAGCATTCAACAGACCCAATCGATATAATGCATTATCACCTTTAGCTTACAGAGTAAATAAATAAATAAAAATAAAAACAGCCATTTACAATATCCAAAACAGGATTGGTTATCAGCCATTCAATGGGCTGCAAAGTGTGATGCTGTAAAGGTAGTCGTGTTGACAGGTCGAGGAAAATATTATACCTCAGGACAAGAATTACAAGAACCTGACTTTAGTGCGGCTGGCATTGAGGCTCAGAAGAAACGACGTCAGGTTACAAAGTAAAAACAAAAAGAAAGTATCTATTATATATAAAGAAACTCATTGTGATCCTCAGAACACTGGTAGATGAATTGATCAATTTCCCAAAGCTATTAATTGCTGGTGTCAATGGTAAATAAACAAAGAATAATGTAGTATAGTAGCTCATTACAGTATGTGCGGTAGGTAATGCGATAGGCTTCGGTGTAACAACATTGGCATTATGTGATGTTGTGTATTCAGTACCTGGAGCAACGTTTAACACACCTTTTATGAAACTGGCCTTTTGTGCCGAAGGATGCTCTTCCATCTTATTTCCAAGGATTATGGGACCTTCCAAGGCGAATGAAATGCTGGTAAAAAAAAGGTATACGTGTAATTATAACAAAATGCCCATTTTTTTGTCTAGTTGATGGGCCGTACTTTTACTGCTGAGGAACTCGTGGGCTGTGGATTCGTCAGTCGTCTCTTACCTCTCGACAACTTCCGTGAACAAATTCTTAATATTGCTGAAGAGGCAGCAAAATTCAGTGCGACGGCTATAGGAGTATCCAAAAAGCTTATTCGAGATGTCGATCGTGAATTACTGCTTAAAGTTAATGCAGTAGAAATGGAGCAGCTGACGAAGCAAATGGCTAGTGAAGAATCGATTACAAGTTTGAAACGGTTTGTAGAGGAAGCAAAGAAAAAGAAGGCACTTAGGCAAAATAAAAGCAGCAAAATCTAAAGATAACACCATTTTGCTATACTGTTTTTATACTCAAGTTTGTAAATGTAACAAACGTTTTGGATCTTTGATTTCGAACAATAAAATATGGGCACACATTTGCTCTCACTTTTATTATTTTCAATATGCTATCTTTAAAAATCACTGAAGAGGATGCGCATTTGATAGATCTTTATACAATATTGACCCTACTGACAACACTGTATCTTCTCTTATAAAGTTCTCGTTCAAATCTTTTTAAATAGCATTCAGCTTTTTTATCAGCTATAACTTAAAAGGAGTCAATAGGCGACAACAAGAGTTTAAAGAATAGAGTGAATCCAAAGATGGCAAAGACCTTTGATTGGCAAGAATTTAATTTGAAATATTCAACCCACCAGTAAAGCCTGTACAAATGGCAATGGCCATCAACAGCAGGCAAATAAGTGTATTGGCACAGTCGTAGATTCTACAATAGAATAGTATGTCAGATTGTAATTTACTTGTCATCGCCACTGAGGTCATGGTGCTGAATACTTCACTATCATACGAGAAATAAGAAAACAAATACAAAATGAATCCAATGCCCCCCTTTTGAGATTTAAGAAGCCGCCTATAGTTAATTCCCTTTATTGGCGAACAATGACCCAAATTTTTACATGCAACATCATGCGTAAAAAGAAAAAGATACTTACTTCCTTTTCCCTCAAACATTAAAGGAAACAAAATCTCTTTCTTAAGTATAAATAAACAGCTCCAAAAACTTTTATTTCTAAAATAAGCAAAGGATTCAAATTATCAATTAGGGATTTTTCAGGCGTCAATGCGACCATCTACCGTACTCCTTAGGTTAATCAATAATGAAATACAATTGAACTGGTAGAACCTTTTATAGCAAATATTTCGTAATACGATATAGATTTTATCGTCAATACTTTAGAAATAGACTTCGAGAAACTTCTACACACATACACATGAATCTCTTCAAAGCCCAATCTGCTTCCTCAAAACGCCGTTGATCGAGTTTTCCAAGCTATTCTATCAGACCACATTGGCTTGTTGTAATAAATTTAAATGGACTATACATGCAAGATAAATTCTGTATCAAGACACACATTTTCTGTCCTACATGAATACGCAATCCAATACAGTAATAATGACGGCATTATTAATCAAGCAGTAGACGATCGGCAGAATCTTTTGCTTGGCTTGAAATCCAAGTTTTCGCCCTTGGCCCCTTAAAGAGCCTTATTTTGACTCTGATCGGATATAATTATACACACCACTGCATAACCCAAAAAGAGAGTCTCTTTAAACAAAGAACATTCAAATGAGGATGCATATTCACATCAATTCGGTTTGAACTGAAGTGTAAGAACAACAATAGAGTTTCTTTTTGGAAAAAAAAAAGAAAAAAAAAAAAGAGTATACAATCCGCTATTAGTGACAAACCGAATACGACATCTCTTTTCTCTATATGGGAACGGATTTCTGTAGACTAAAAGTTCCAAGCCCTGAATTAAACTTCATAAAAAGAAAAAGAAAAATGGCGTGAAGTATACAGGGTAATCCAGCAGCAACGACAACCAACAAAACAAAGTTGAGATACAATCGCAAGTCTACGTTAAATCACATGGAATATGCAAAGGAAGACCCCGCAGCAATCAACCAAGTTTGCACAAAAACAGACAAGCGGGACCGCTTTATATAATCGAGTAAATCGCTTTCTATTTTTAACAAGATCCACTTTTTGCCAAGTGGACACGAAATCACGACTTTATCTGGAAACATGTCTAAAACCAGCTATCATTTTCAAATAGCTATGAATAAATGATCACGTATGCAGCTGGTGTTTTATTTAAACCAGTTTTGTGATTATAAAAAGATGATTACCATAGTCGTATTAACTTTCCCTTTTGACAATGGATAGAGATTATTTTGGGAAATTCTCTGTTTATTTTCCTTGCCATTATTTTATATGCATATAAATTCATTACTGCTCTCTCTCTCTTTCTTTTTTTCTGACAGTTACATATGATATCACACATACGCTAGATCGTCATTTACTACAACAAGCATTGGATTTCTGTCGCACAACGGAAAGAAAGATGAACAAGATGGTGTTATTTCAGGTATAAAAAGAATTAAAAATAGAACAAAGACACACAAGTCGTATTGTATGATAATAACCTTGTTTGTGATTATAAAAGATCAACTGGGTAACCGCGGTATAAGGGCTGAGCGTTTATATAAATCTAGCCAGATCTGTAGCAAAGGGCTGAAAAGTTTTACTTTATTAATAAAGTGCATTGTTAAATATAGTAGGGCTGAATATTTGTTTTTTTTTCTTTTTGCCAAGTTATAAACAGCAAAGAAAACTGAGATTGGATAACATGCTACTATGACAACATTTTTATCTTTTATGTAAATACCATTAGAGTTGTCAGGGGCAACAAAAATTTAACATTATAAAAGTATATAATTAAATATTATGTATACTTTCATAAATATACAAGTCTGTCAACCTAAGCCATGTTCGATTATAAGCTAGAAAGTGGGAGATGTGTTTATGGGTCATAGGATGACAGGTCGAAGAGCTATTTATAAAATTTGCTACTTTTTTTAAAACTCTTCTCGACTCTAAAGAACTGTTACACATGCGCTTTTCTGTAGATTATAAAAATGTTTATATAAAGTAACCCTTTCTTTTTCTTCTCTGTTTCTCTTCTTTCCACTTTCTTTACATTTCTTTACTTTTTTTCTTTACCTTTTTTCTTTACCTTTTTTCTTTATCTTTTTTTTTTTTTTTTTACTAGACATTAAAAGAAATGCGTTTGACAGCTATTCTATTTACCTCAGTCACTTTATTATCAACCACATACGCAGCAACACTCGAAAAAAGGTGTAACTTAAGAAGAGAGCCTATCACCGTCAAAAATGGCTTGGTATGTATACCCTTTTTGAATACTACATAAACAATAACTAAATAAATTTATTTATAGCCTCTTGGTGAAGTAAAAGTTGGTAATGTCGTTTTATTCGGATGATATTCCGACATAGAAACTAATACCATTCCGCGTAACTTTCTCTAGGTTCACCACCACAGTCATTTCGAGTATTATTCGATACAAGCAATTCCCTGACCTGGGTGCCTTCTACGGATGTTTGTATTAACTTTATATTTAATATACATTTATATTTACATGCACGCTCTTTTCACTTAGTGTCATACGCCCATCTGTCGTAAAAATTCAAACAAGTTGTACAGTCCAAACACTTCATCTACCGCTGTTAACCTTCATCAAAAGGAATCGATTAAATTTGATGAAGGCGTTTGCATTGACGTTAGACTTTATAGAGTAAATATATACATGTCACAGCTCTTTATCAGTAGAATAACCCACTTTTGCTTAGGACACTGTTTCTGTAGCTGGAATTGAAGTACCCAATCAATTGTTTGGTGCTGCTTATAGTGTTAAAGGACTTGATGAAGATCATTGTAAGTCAGCTCACCTGAAATTTATTTTAGCACATTTAATAACATTAAACCTTTTTTATCAGTTGGCTTCCTTGGCTTAGGTAACTATGCTGACGGAGGCGATGTTCGCTTATCATCTAGCAATTCATCTTCTTCTCTCACAAGTAAGTGTTACCATGACAACTTTTTTTTATTCATCGATAACTGACGCTATTCTTTTACATAGAACGTCAAAGTAAGTTCTAGGCTCATCTATTTTTACTTAAAATTTTTAATTTCTTACATCATACCGCAGGTGGTGGTAATGGCGCTTTTGCTCCCAATGCTTTCCAGTTAGGCGCTCAGCAAGGATCTGCACAGTTTGGCTTTTACACCACCAGCCCATCATCAGGATTCTATCAAAAGAGAAATAACGATGGACACAACGGAGAGTTCATCATTGGCGGTATTGATCACAATGTTTACAAAGGAGGTATTGCTTACTTCAAGCTGCCTACCTGCGACTATGGCGATTCTCCTTATTGGAAGACAGAACTCAAGTGTGTCAAATTGGGCAACAAGATCGATGTCAAATTAGCTCCCAAGACATTGGCTTCTTTTAGCACAGGCACCTCTCATATGCTTGCGCCTTCCCATCAAGCCGATTTGCTTCATGCTGCTCTTGATGCTCATTATGATGAAGACGAAGATGTTTACAAGATTGATTGCTGCGAAGACTTGAGCAAGTTCCCTGACTTGAAGTTTGATTTCCATGGCTATCGTATTACTTTGCCTCCCAAGGCTTACCTCAAGAAGGACAATGACAAGCAATGTCACAGTTTGATCGGTCGTAACACAGATGACAAAAACTGGATCTTGGGTGGTTACTTCTCTCAGTGGTTCTACCAAGTCTATGATGCCAGTAACTCACAAATCGGTCTTGCTCTTACAAAGGGCGAATCTGATGTCAAGATTGATAAGCTTCATTAAATTGTAAATCTCATGTTTATTTACTTTTGTATTAAATCATTTTTCTCCCATTCATTTTATATTTTTCAATCACATCTTTTTTGTAATTTTGAATACAAAGCTCATTTTCCCCCACTTGTTCTCTATTCATACAATAAAAAATCATTACTTTTTAATGCGTATATGAAATGGTATCAAGCATTTATTAATAGTCTCTAAGCAACACAAACACTGTTGTCGGCCTTTGCATTCAAAATAAGAGCAACGATCAAGCCATAAAGACCAAGAACTTCTGCGAAAATTAAAATCAAGACCATCCCGACGAATAATCTACTTTCCCTAAGATATCCTCTTACACACTATGATACGTTTTTTAATATGCGCTTTCTTGTTTTAAGCGTCTACTTACATAGTCACCAACAATGCCAATAGCATAACCTGCCGCTAAACCCCCCATTCCGACAGAGAGACCAGCAGCCAAAGATACAAATCCACTATGTTAAAAATGAGTATTACTCTATATTATTTGATAAGCAAAAACTTACGAATATAAAGAATAACCGGATGTTGGAGACACTGTTTAAAAAAAAAGTCATGAAAGGGCGTTAGTAAAAGAAAGAACAATATAATAGACTTTCTTACGTTGACCAGCCAAAAGGACTGCAACTACTAAACCATATACCGCAATGATACCACTCATGACAACTGGAATCAATGACTATGTCAAGACTGCATGTTTGAGAGAAAAGTTCGTTTGTCATTATATGTATATACCTTCATAACTAACTCGGGCTTAAAAGAACCGATACCGGCAATACCAATACCAGCCTTTGAGGTACCATAGGCTGCTCCAATAGCTAAAAGTAAAAAGGAATGTCAATGTCGAATTATTATTGATACATGACGATAACTTACTGCTAAAGGCCATCTAACACGGTTTAATGTTAATGAGAAGCTTTTGTTATTTACGCTTTACTTACAGCACAGAAAACACCTGCAAACCCGAAAAATGGTGCATAATTTGGACAATAAACAGCAGAATCAGACATAATATATTATAATTTAGTCAAGTCCAGGAAAAAAAAAAAGAGGCAGGTTACTGAACTTTGGCGTTTCATATTGTAGTTCAACTCACAGCGGAATACTAAATCCAGATGACGTTTACTCAGCTTATGTTATGCGTTTTGGGGCCAAAGATATGATACTATGGCTCAGAGAAAAGAGAAAAAGACGCAAATAATATCAAGACAAAAGGAATACGTGTCATAGAACATAAATTAGCTCTTTTTATACAATAACATAGTATTCTGATCTCGACAAGTCAAAGTGTGTATATCATTAGTGCTATTTGAGGATCAACGTCTTAGCTGCCGTTATCTAAAGGGGATTTTATTTATAATAATAGTATTAAGATTGCTTACACTCGGGCGCTTTTTCATCTTTGGCAGGCTATAATGACACACTTGGGTTAATACACTTGCTTTTTTTTTTTCCACGGTTTCAACTTACAGCATCATCATCATCATCATCATCGTCGTCGTCGTCGTCGTCGTTCTCCTCTTCATCATCATCTTCATCATAATATTCATCCTGCAAATACGAGATTAGATCTATTGAGAGAGAGTACTGACATTCATTGTTCTTACATCAAAGTCTTCGTCATAATCTTCGTATTGAAGAGCCTTGCCAGTGAAATAGTCTACAGCATGGGGGATGATCTTATCTTTGAATTCCTCGCCCATTTCATAGTCTGCTTCAAGCTTAGCATCTAAGCCTTCAGCCTCCTCTTCATCGATTTCTTCATCTTCAGTAGGAATAGCAGGTGGACTAAAGAAGTGAAAGAAAGAGTCTGCAGCCACAGTGCGTTTGACGACGCGAGACTTGTTTGTGCTCTTATGACGTTGCTTCTTTGTTTCTACTGTAACCGTCAAGTTCTTTCCTTCTTTCCAGTCGATGTCACAGCCTTTGGCATGATCATAAACAAAATCGCCACCAATAGCTTGATCCTGATAATAGTAAGTCTTAACAAGCACCTTGTTTGTAAAGAATTCATTTTCTGAGAATTCAAACTCGAGCTTGAATCCTGGCTTATCCATATAGGACATGCGGATATCAACCAAGTGTTTCAAAGCTTCTTCATCTTGCTCGGTGATAGTTTCAGCAATTTGAGGGTGGTTCTTTAATAAAGTCAACCAGAACTCAGGAATACCCTTGATGTCTTTATCGCTTTCTTCTTCCTTTTCTCCTTCTTCCTCTTCCTCTTCTTCTTCTTCTTCATCTATTTTTTTACCCAGGGCTACTTCTTCTTCTGTAGGCTCGTAGCTACCGTTAATAATCTTTGCACGTTGTTCATATAGAGGCTTGTAAAGTTCGAGATACTTCTTTTCTAAAGCCAATACTTCTTCCTGAAATTTGTTTTCAAGTTCGGCATGCTTAGATTGGAAATACTTGAGACCATTAAGTCTGCGTTTAACAGGTGCAGGTAATGATTCAATATAGCCAGAGGAACGGCCCACGAGAGTGCCTAGTTTACCTTGAAGCATGCTCAAAAGAGCGGGATTACCAGTGAATGCACCAGTAAGTGCTGAGTTGCCACTGGCTGCGCCTTCAAATAATGTTATCAGTATGGATCAGTTTGATCAACAAAGAATACCTTTTGTAGTGATAGTTTCCATATCTTCAGAAATGGCGTTCATAGAAGGACGATAAGTAGAAGTAATGGGAGCAGGATTGATAGGTGTGTTTTGGGGTGTAGGCGCAGTGGAACTACCTGCCTTGTTCTTAATGTCAACACCTAAAGTATTCTCGACATGATTAGCTTCTTGTTATGGAAACCCTATTGTTAAAAGAAAAAAGTTTTTACCTGATTGTTGAGAATCCATTATAGGTTTCAAGCTTGAAAGGAAAACGAAAAAAAATGTTTTTTTTTTGTAGGATGTGAAATAACTTAAAACTCAGCAAAAAAGGGAAAAGGGAAGTTGCATAGTCAAACAAAGCTACAACAAATAATGATAAGAGAGAGCCAATCAGAAGCAAAAGAATGAATAAAGAAATGATTAGTAAACCAGTTATTTACAGCGATATTAAATACTTACATTATAAAGAAGAGGATTTATAAGAGAAAAAAGAAACAAGAAAAATGAGTAAACATATAGAGAGGTTGTTAATATCTTACCCAAAGCGCATTAAATAGGGCTGGCGATAACCAGTCTGGAAAGAGCAAAGAAAGAAACAAAAAATAGAAGCAAGCAAAGAGAGCGGATGGGACCAAAGTTTGGTAAGGGCCAAGCTACCCTCAGCTAGCACCGGTACTGTTTTCGATTCTGATCTATAATACTACATATCAGTTTCTTACAAGAGTAAAGAATATAACAGACATTAGGGCTAGCTGGGGAATAGTTGGTCTTGCTTTTTGGCCCAAAGAAGAAAAAGAAGTCAATATCAGACTATTTAAACAAAGTCTCTAACAACGTTTCATTTATAAAAAGCATTGACCACATTTATTTTATACTCAAAAATATCAAGCTCATTTTATGTACTATTACATGTTGTCTTTTAAATAGTAAAGAAGACATAGAAAATCAACTAAATTGTTAATTGTTATTGATCTTTTAATGTGTGCGTGTGTGTATGTATGCAGCAATTTAATGAATAACATAGCCTCTAATGATTAATGCTGTTTCTTTTTAACTTCAAGCAAAAGTTTAGTGTTCATTCTTGACATAAGGAATAGTAAAGATTAACTTATATCGCATAGTAATGAACAAGTGTGTATAAGAGAGAGAGATGCTCCTTCTGTCTCCTCCATGATTTATGCTACGTCACAATATGGATAAAGCATAAAGGCTAATTTCAGGTCCTAAAAATCAAAAATTTACTATTGCTTTTTCCTGTAATATTTGTCTAGATGAAGCAAGCAGGACCATCATTAAGGAAAGGCCAGCAACAACCAGATAAATATAACAACGTTCTAGAACATGATAGGAGGGATGAGCATGGCCATGGACCAGATTTGCTAGTGCTTCCTTCAACATCGACATTCACTCTCAAAGACGATAAGCAAGAGAAATTAAAAAAGAAAGCAAAGAACTTTTTTAACGAAAAGAAAGAGATTAAGCTAAGAGCACAAAGTTTATGGAGCTACATTGGTAACATAAGAATTACAATGTAAAGCATTGAGACTGACATACTTCTCTTCATCTCAGATGCAACAAATACCTTTGATCAAGCACGGTTCTTTCAGGAAAATGCGGAACAAGTATTTCAAGTGGTATATGATACTTGTATGCATCAAATAGACAAAATAAGGAAAACCAAGACAGAAAGACCACAATCTTGGAATTCAAAGGAACTCGTCAGTCTCCAGAAAACGCTCTTGTTGCTACGAAAGATATTTTTATTTGTTCCAGAGTTAATGAGGAACGGATGGCAGAGACAAAATATTGCAGCCATCTTGACCCATATTTTGGATCACCGTAACCATCCAAGGCTACGAGCCCTCGGCTTTCAATTGCTTTTATTGTGGTTGAATGACCAAGTAGTAGAATATCCAGAATGTATATACCTATTCTCAAATGCAATTTCCTTGGACTTGTTTATTCTCGACGAGATATCCCCCATAGATACGGCTCATTCAAATAACAATCATGCCAATGCATCTACTGGGGTCAATATCAGTCCTTCTACAATGAGTCATGTCTCACCAACAACGGCCAGCCTGATGAATAACGAACCGTCTGATGATAACATACATAGCAAGCTGCATACTGGCGGACTTCATTTTGTTAAAAAGCTAAGAGAAACACATGCAGAAAAAGGACAGACAAAGCACGGACTACAAAGAGATGAACGTATAAAAACAAGTCAAATTCAGCTACATCAAACAATCATTGTAGATGACGAGTCTACAGCGCCAATATTCCCCAACCCTGCTCCACCCACGTACAATGATTCACTTGTATTAATACACATTTTTATATCAAATTTAGTGCGACTAGCTTATGTCGCAGCTGGTTCACCACCACCACCTGATGACTATGATTATCCTCCTGGAGACCAGTTCGAACCAGATGATGGAATTGCTACTGGCGTTGGCATAGATGCAGCCACCGCAAGTGCAAAGTTCCTATTCAAAATATTTAGGACATATTACATAACCAAGTTTGTTCCGCTCATTTCAAAATCATTACAGGTAGATGGCGCGATTGAAAATGAAAGTAAGTAAAGAACAAGGATCACAACTCGACACTAATGAAAGCAGAGTATGGATTCCCATCCTGTCCTCCTTCTATCCTTAGATGCCTTTTGCGTTTCTTGATTGGCTATTGTCTTGATAATGATAGCAATAATGTACACATCAATTGGCCAAACCAAGCCCCATTTGCATCTTCTTCTCCAGCTATACCCATTCTAAAATCCATTGTGTTATCATCCCATGAAACTCGTGAAATGCTGCATGAAATAATTCGCCAAGCTCTTACTCTACCATGCACAAATACACAATATCGCGACATCACACGCGGTGCTATTCATGTACTTGGAGTTTGGATACTTTGTAAGGAAGAGGAAAGACCATCCTTCTTGAGAAGATCAGGTAGTGCAGTCACTCGTTCCAGTAGTACCACCTCAGCCATATCAATGAATAACGGTAATACACCTGGCACAGAACAGAACAAGATTCTTTCTACTTCGCCTATTGCAGAAGAGTTTCCTATCCATCAGAAAAGTAGCGAAGACCAACACGATGCCAACGCATTCTTGCGCCGTTATTTAATGATGATAAAGTTGATATTTGAGGATCGACGTGGTTCAGATGATAAAAGTAGAGACGTTTTGGCTGCGAATGCACAACAGGTCACAGATTGGGAAGGCTTAGTAGCACTATACAAAGACGCTATTAATGTATATCGTGCTATTGTTGTATCTAAAGGAGGAATTGACATTGAATGGGAGAGTTGGGAATTACTATTACATTGTCTCCTGGATATTCAGCAATGGCTAATGAGTCAACCAGAAAAGTACAGTAGAGTTCCTGTCCAGCCTCTGGCGGAAGACCTGGCAAGCTATATTTGGGAAACAGTATTCTATGCATTTGTAAGAGCCAAGATTATTCACATGGAGCTTTGGAATCAATTAAAAGTACACGTTGTCAGTTCAACTCGGTGGCCTCAAGCTCTACAGCAGTGGGTGGTAAGGTTTATTACGTGTAATTTAGAGACGCGGCTTCTGATGTACTCTCTCTCTTTAGAAAACCATGCATAATTTAACTAGACTACTATCTTCCAGGCTGTACAAAGTAGAATATGATATTGACAGACATCGATCCGCAGATGATCAACAACAGCCTTTCCATTTTATCAGCAGCAGTCGCTCATCAGCTATAGGAAGTAGTAACAAAAGCAAAATTCGATCTCGGCATTTGAGCATCCACGGCCATCCAAAAAATAATACATCAACTGGTAATAAACGTGGCTCTGCTGGACGACCATTATCAAGTAGTGGAAGTGAAGGTCAGTTAGTACCAAACGCACTAGACAAACAGTCTACGGAACAGCAACAGACAGACCACTCCCAAAGTACGACGGCTCTTCCTCCTCCTGAAGGAAGTGTCTCGACTATCTTACGTAACCTTAGCAGTGCTTCCTTATCTGATATTGCAAACACATTCAAATCCGATCGTAAATCGACAAACCTCAGCTCTGTACCCGATAATGAAGAGCTTGAGGATGAAACAGTGACAACAACAAAACAAAACATCAAGTTTGGAATTAAGAATATTATACCTACATCCTCATTTTCTAATACCTCATCACATACCAGCAGTAGTGGAAGCAACTATCATGCTTTGACTTCATCGGCATCAGCTGCCAAGAGAACGAGCGGTAGTCATACGTTAGGAAACAATGCATCAAGCCATGGTATGAACGCAACGAGTGGAGGACAGGACAAAAGCATGACAGGATCTGGAAGACGAACGATTAGTATACAGCAGCTTGACTCGCTATGGCAAGATTCAGGCTCAAAGTTACTGAACTTTGTTCACCACAGCAATGAAGGCTCTCAGGCAAACGTAACCAAGGGCTTAACTATCAAGCATGATGATAAGAAAACAGAGTGGGACAGAAGAAGTGGGTCAAGCTCTGTTATAGACGAGGTTGCATCAAGTCGCTCCAATCGTACTTCTACATCTATACTGGCAGGTGTTGGTGACGCACTCTCTATGATGCCCAGTTCAGCTGCTGTCACTGAAAAGCTTCCTGTGGGACTAGGATCCTTCAAAAGTTCTGATTTTCTCGTTTTAAGTAACCTGTCTTATGATGGACAGCAAATACTGGCTACCTGGAAGAATACGTTGTTAGTTGTAGGCAACATCAATCAAATCGAAGGAGCACAAAACCACGCCATTGCCATTCAGTGTATTGTAGATATCTTGGATACTTTCAAGTTGATACGAGCAGAGCAGCCTTACTGTGATGTACCTATACCTGCTATATATGATTTTACACCATGGTTACTTGATGCAACAGAGCTTCCAGAGTGAGTATTTGATAACTTGTTATTATGATCGAATCAGCATGGACTCAATATTTTGTAGCACATATGAAATAGGTAAAGCTAGTGCCTATGGTAGCCTATGTAGGTTGATGGCACAGATTCCAGAGGAAAATATACCAGAGAGCTATTATGCAGCGTTTTACAAATCAATCATCAAAGGGCTTAGTTCTGGCAACTTATCCATTGTTCATGCTATTCTACTTAATTCTAGCAATCTATTTACGTTTCCACTTCCTGGTATTCATATCTTGATTCCATTTTTTATAGAAGCTATTGAAAAAGAGGTACTTACATCATGCACACACGCATCCTTCTTTCTTTCTAATCGATCTTGCTTCATAGCTGCTAAACTACTCTGGCACAAAGCCTTCATTAAAAGTATACAAGAGCTGTGTTACGATCTTGGGCTCACTTGTGCCATTGTCGAATCATTTAAAGAATGTGACAATCCATTTTGATGAGATAGATACAAAGTGGATTCCTGCTTTTGAACAGGAAAAATCGTTTTCGTTTGCTGGTGCAAAACTATGGTTAAAGAATGTCCTGATCAGACTAATAATAAGTAATCAAAATGTCACAGGCGAACTTGATACAGAAATACACTGTATGCTGCTCGGTGGCTTATGCGCCTTTGTGCTTGATGAAATGTCTACAGTAGAAAGGTAACAGCACCTTACAGTAACTAACAAAATTCTAATCTTTTGTTTGTAGTCGCCAAGATGATATCATATATGAATGTATTCTGTCTTTGGTCAATCACTTGTATTGGTGTAATATCTCTGTTATAAACACTGTGGCCAACTGTCTGATCACACTTGCTCATACGTATGATGGAGAGCTTGATCCAGAAGGAGTAAGTTTATCAAAGAAGAAATGTACCAAGCTAATATGTTCATTAGATTGTTGTACAAGAAGTACTGACTCATATTATTGATGCACTTAATGTACATTTGAAGTACTATGAACGAAGTAGCAAGACCGGAAGAGGCTTTATTATTTCCAAACTATTTAGCTGTCTTTTAGACTGGATTATGTCAATCGACCCCATCATTCTTACAGAAACTGATCTTTGTCAACTTGTATTTGATGTGATTGAGCTTGCTATTCATTTATCATCGGTAAGCATACTATCTACATTCACCTTACATCAGACTAATAACTGCTATTAAACAAAAAAGGATGGTCATGAAAAACTATTACCACACCCTCCCAGATCAGTTAGCACAAGCTCAAAGAAAAAAGAAGCTTCATTCAAGTTTAAATTAGGAGCAGATAAAAGACCAGACATAAAACAGAATGAGCATATTGTTGGCTCAGACACCTTGCCAGAAAATGATCAAGATTATGTCAAGGTAAGAATGAGTGAGTGCTTACGAGGTGATGATATTTATATTGTATAAAGGAATCCGCTGAAGCAGTCCTGCTTCATTTACTTCATCACTTTAACAACTTTGCATCTCCTTATGGTCCTGCCACTTTGTATAGTACAATCGCTGGACCTGGTGTTTCGCAAGATGATGGAGATTATCAGCAGTACCAATATTTCTCGTTCAATGACACTACTATTATTGCATTTGTGGAACTCCCTGAAGCAAAAGGTTTCCATCATGTGATGTATCCATAATGGAAGTAAAACTAACACTATATTCATAGAAAAACGTCAAGCAAGAATGATCATACGAGATCTTACTGGACGTTATGTTTGGGATGCCCAACTAGAACCCAAGGCAACCTTGTCTGGAAGCTCAGAAAGATTAGCAAGCACAAAGAAATTGGGCAACGCTTTAGATAAAAGGTTTATAAAAAGTGAGAATAAATCGAACGACCGAGCGTAAGTAGATATCTTGTTGAACCTTTTTTTTTAAAAACTAACATTATTATTACTAATAGATTGGCTGATCATGGAAAAGACCCAATGTCTTTGTTATTAAAGCAGTAAGTAAAGCGTCGGCCTGTTTGGTACAATAGTATTAATATCAGATAAAAAAGGATTGGTGAATTACACCCAGATTGCCTCTTAGACCCTAGTCTACCACTTAATGTGCCAAGTACTCCCACTGCACTTCAATTAGATATGCTTGGCAATCTAGGAGAGCGTTTAGAGGATTATTTGAAGAAAGAAGCAGAACAGAATGCTCAGCAGGCGCCAGACGTGTAAGTCATGGTTTATCCATTACAGTACATGCTATAACTTAACGCTCGATACTTTTTAGAAGGCTTTGGTATACAAAGATGAATAGCCTACGTCAAAGGGAATCTGGAGAAAATAAGCAAAGTGAATCAATGCAAGTACAGCTGTTGAACAACTTTAGCTTGAAAAAAGACTTCATGCCAGCTTTTCCTCAAGAAGCTGAAAATCCCCATGTCCCTTTCTTGTTTAGTCGACTATTGATGAGTCATCTAGGGCTCATTGAGTATAATCACTTAAAAGATGGCTCCTTCCAGATGCTCAATAAGAGTCCAGCTCTTTACAGAGACTTGCGAGGACTCGATCGAAAGCATGGGTAAGATTTCTTTTATAGGCACGAAGAAAAAAAAAACTAAATACTCGTAGACGCGAGACAATGAAGATTGGACTGATTTACGTTGCCCATGGACAAGAAGATGAGCAGAGTATTCTCCAGAACAGTCAAGGGTCTGAGAGATATAATAGATTTGTAGAAAGTCTAGGATGGGAAATAGATATTGCTACACACACAGGGTATCTCGGGGGACTTGAACGAAATTTAACCAATGGTTCAAAAGCTACTTATTATTGCTCTTCTACGCTTGAAGTGATATTCCATGATGTGACTAAAATGCCCACAGACCCCTCTGATCCAAAACAGCTAAAGAAGGTAAGTTTAGTGTGCATATAATGAGACAAAAGCCATTGATCAAAACGACAAACAGAAACGACATATTGGTAATGACCATGTCCACATCGTTTGGAATGAACATGACCGAGACTATAAGACTAATACTATTGGAGGGGACTTTGGCAATGCTCAAATTATTGTTAAACCACTGCCTAACAATCTCTACTTGATCAAAGTTTATCGTGACTCAAAGGTATGGAAAAAAAAAGACAAAATTTCCCCGCATTATATTTTAATTCAAGGTATTATAGATTCCATATTTTGGACCACTGTATGATAAAATGATTGTATCTGAAGCAAGTTTGGGTCCTCTGGTTAGATCTACTGCTATTGATGCGTTTAGAGCTACAGTGCACACAAATTTATATTCCTTTTATAAGAGTGTGTATGCCCAAAGAGCCAACGATGTGCGAATGATCACTCAAAGGCATAAACTTTCAGCATGGTAAAATTTAACATGACATCAAACCCCTAAAAACTAACCCATTTTTCATATATAAAAAGGAGTTATGAGCATTTTATGGAGAAAGTTTTCATGCTTGAAGATCAATAAGTTTCTAATATGAAATCTTTATCCAAACAAGACAATTGGCCACTCCATGATTACCATGAAAAATATATTATGAAAACATTATCATTACGAGCACTGCAATGTAATTATTCAAGCGCAATCAATACCATCACCATTACCACTAATACTAATAATAATAATAATAATAATAATAATAATAATAATACAAACCATATCATATTAAATGATAATAATGATAGCCATAGATTATTGACTGACCGAGAAAAGCAATATCTAAGATGCTCTATTTGTCAACGTAGATTCCATTCAGAAGGAAATCTCTTTAATCATATGCAGCTATACCACTATTCTTTGCTCTCTGTAAAGCAATAAAAAATACACGTATCGTTTCCAATCAATAGAATAAAGTACTGAGAAGGAATTTTTTTTTTTCGGAACGTGTGAGTGTATCAAAGGGAGGCTTAAGGGAAATCGATCCTCTCCCTCCATAATAGAGAAGGGCAAGAGAAGGTGATATCACCCTGTTTTATAAAGACTATGATGAATCGTAAAGGGATGCCTTTGTTAATAAATGTGTTTCTAAATTGAATAAAATGGTGTTTTCCAATGACTGTACTCCTTTTTCAAGAGAGAAACCCTTTCAGCCTCACTTGTGTACGTGTGTGTGAAAGAATTAAAGAACCGAACGAACACTTTGAGGCTTGAACGCATAAACTGTACTTTTTTTTTTCTTAATGAAGAGTGTGTTAATATTACTGTTATTACCATTAGCAGCTTACTGCTATAAGATATTATCAAATGAATCCCTCAGATATTTGGCCAAGTTAACCAACTCTGAAAGATTATCAGTTGATAGCAGCTTAATGAAACCCTTACTCACTGAACGAATTTCAGGAACATCAGGGAATGAGCAAGTGCGAGAGTTTATCATTCAGCACTTTGAACGCTTAGGTTGGCATATTGAGCTAGATAATTTTACAGATATGACACCTTATGGCTTAAAGAACTTTACCAACATCATTGTTACGCATAACCCTGACAAGCCAACGCGACTTGTATTAGCAGCTCACTTTGACTCCATGTACTCTCCTGACTTTAAGTTTATTGGAGCAACAGATAGTGCAATACCATGTGGACTGCTGATGGATACAGCAGAGACATTAAACGATATTTTATCAGATACAACCAAACACTTTAGACAAAAAGATAAGACGGTTCAAATGATATTTTTTGATGGAGAAGAGGCATTTAGGCAGTGGAGCGCTACAGATTCCATTTATGGTGCAAGGTAAATCTTTAGATGACTTTATTTTTACAGAACAGTAATAATAATTATCATAGACACCTTGCTGAAACATGGGAGTCATCTTATCTCGTTAATGGAAACAAAGTCTACAAGAACAGACTAGATCAAATCGAAGTACTTGTACTATTGGATCTATTAGGTGTGCCCAATGTTCAGTTTCCAAATTATTACAGATCAACAAGTTGGCTATTCTATAAGCTTATCAGTCTTGAAAATAGACTAAAAGCACAATCTTTACTAAACACAAAATCAAGGAAAGGAGAGGAATTAATTTCATTCTTTAATCCAAACTCAATGCTTACCTTTCGAGGTGAAAGTATAGGAGATGATCATGTCCCATTTTTACAGCGCGGCGTAAATGTATTACATTTGATTCCCTATCCATTTCCTTATGTTTGGCACACTAGAGCTGTAAGTTGATATCGAATTATTATTAGCCATGTTCTTATCTTTGTATATACATATAGGATACAGCAGAATGTATAGATCAATCCGTAGTCGAAAACTATGCAGCCCTTTTTCGTGCTTTTACTGCAGAATATTTGGAAATAGACCCTTTACCACATAATGAATTATAATTATAACCCCCTCTTCCCCTTCTAAAAGATTATTAACCCCTCCACATGTCAAAAAGATAAAGGGGGGAAGAACTTCATTGTTTTGTCTTTATATAAATTACTACATTTCTTTTTTTTTCTTTTTCATTCTTTCATATTACCAATGTTAAATACAAACGAAGCAATATTTATCATCATTCTCATGTTTATACTCATTCTCATCTTGGTCGGCTTATTTATTCTAATGAACAGAATAAACAAGAAAAGACAAGAACTTGTAGATATCGAACAACGTTTAACGGAAACAAAGGATGAAAAGACAATAAAGCCAGTTGAACCAGCGATGATTAAAGACGATATATACTTTCAGCCCGTTCTATCTACTGCCCCACCTGTCATGACTCTTCAAAAAAAGACTATCAAAAAATCAATCCTTCACAAGATCTACAGTTTCCGAAATCCATCTAGATCTCCACCACTCAAACCCTGTAGACCAAGTTCAATGCGACTCCCTTCATTTCTACCGATGCAAGAGGATATATCAGTTCATCCGCCCCCATATCAAGATTCGATAAGTTACCAAAAGCATTAACCCCCTCCTCCTTTGTTCATTTTTTTTATATTAATTTTTCATACGCGTTGCTTCTTCATTCCCTGCCCTTATCCTAATAAATAAATTTGCTTCTTTTGCACTTCATTTCACGTTTTTTTCGCTCAATAGGGAACATTAAAAGAAGGGGGATAGGAAGAACTGCGTATTACTGCTTTAGGATTAATTGGCATTTAACCTGCATATTATGTGAGTCCTTTTGGCTGTGTAATACCCTTTTATTTCATTTGACCTTTCGACCCCCCTCTTTAAAATCATTTACTGCATTTTACATAAGTAGCTACAACCGATAAACCCAATATATATATATATATATATATACATATTCCGACTGTATACACTCAAATAGGTTCATCCTCTCCCTCAGTTTTATACAAAGAATGGATAAAGAAACATGTATATACGTTATTTAATAATAAAGACAGCTTTAAGTAGCATTCCATAGTCTATTAATCTATAATTCCAATACCCTAAGCTAGAATTGGATAATATCTTTTGGCATCGTCACAATAGTTTTCTCCTTCCTCAAAAATGCTGAACCTGCATAACGATGAAACAGCTAAAGTTATTGAGCCTGAAAAAAGGGCAAACCTAAAATTTTGCCGGATCGGACATAATGGTACCTTGCCTGCAATTATAAAATCTCATCTGCTTTTTTTTTGTGCTTTGTATCATCTTTTTCATCTCTGTTTCAAAAAGGTATCATGGCTTCAAACATTATAGATGGAAAGTCTATCGCACAGTAAGTAAATCTGATGCACCATATAGAATACTTGTTTAATATCTATTAGAAATGTACGCGATAAAGTAAAGAATGAGATTGCTCAAATGAAATCGAAATACCCTCAATATGCACCATGTCTTGCCGTTATTCAAGTAGGAGAACGTGAAGACTCAACAGTCTATGTGGGAATGAAGCAAAAAGCTGCTCAGGCTGCAGGCATTGAATTCATCTATAAAAAGATACCCGAAGATGTTACTCAACTTGAGTTGATCAAGCAAGTAAAGCAGTTGAACGACGATGATAAAGTCCACGGCATACTTGTTCAAGTGCCATTGCCAGCACATATCGATGAATCCGCTGTTCTTGAGGCAATTGATCCCAAAAAGGATGTCGATGGGTAATAGTTTTTAATGAGCTTCTCCTTACACGAAACTAACGGAGTTTATAGATTTCACGCGTTTAATATCGGAAACATGACCAAGAAGGCTGCAACACCTTTGTTCCTTCCTTGTACTCCAAAGGGCATCATCCACCTCTTAAAGACAACGGGTAAGCCCAATAAATCCCCATTCACCGTTACACCGTTACCTAACACGAAGAGCAGGTACGACCATTGCGGGAAAAAAAGCCGTTGTTCTCGGCAGAAGCGATATCGTGGTAATATTCATGCAAAAAAAAAAAAAGTATACGAGAACTATTTTTTCACATATTTCATGCTTAGGGAACACCTGTTTCTATCTTGTTGACCAGCGAAAATGCTACAGTGACTCTATGTCATTCAAAGACTGAACATATCGAGACTCATGTAAGAACAGTCTCAACCTCACTGAGCGATTATATAATGAATCAATTAGGTAAAAGAAGCTGATATCTTGGTAGTTGCCATCGGTAAGCCCGAGTATGTCAAAGGAGCATGGATAAAGCCAGGCGCCGTGGTCATTGACGTTGGAACGAATCCCATCAAAGGTTATTATTATTAGTCATGGAAAATGATAAGCAAAACTGACTGTTCAACATAGATCCTAGCAAGAAATCAGGTATGAGATTAGTGGGCGATGTTGAATATGAGGAAGCTTCTCGTGTAGCTGGCGCCATTACACCTGTTCCAGGTGGCGTTGGACCTATGACTGTTGCTATGCTTATGGAAAACACGCAGTTGAGTGCTAAACGTTTCTTGGAAGAGTCTATTTCGCCCAAGCGCGCCGTTATTCCTTTACCTCTCCACCTCAAGACACCTGTTCCTTCAGATATTGATATTGCAATGTCTCAAACACCCAAGCACATTGTTGATTTAAGCAAAGAATTGGGTTTGACAGCTAGTGAAGTTGAGCCTTATGGTGCAACAAAGGCCAAGATTAGCTTAGATGTTTTGAAGAGATTAAGCCATAGAAAGGACGGACATTATATCGTCGTTACTGGGTAATTAAAATAGAAAAAAATGAAAGCATGACATTAATCCACGTTTATAGCATTACCCCTACGCCTTTAGGTGAAGGCAAGTCAACTACGACCATTGGTCTTGTTCAAGCATTAGGTGCCCACTTGAATAAGATGGCATTTGCTTGTGTACGCCAGCCATCACAAGGCCCTACCTTTGGTATCAAAGGTGGTGCTGCAGGAGGTGGCTATTCCCAAGTCATTCCCATGGATGAATTCAACTTGCATCTTACCGGCGATATTCACGCTGTCACAGCCGCCAACAACTTGCTAGCAGCTGCTATTGATGCTCGTATGTTTCACGAAAACACTCAAAGTGACAAGGCCCTCTTTAATCGTCTGTGCCCTGCCAAGAAGGGTGTTAGAAAATTTGCGCCTGTCATGTTGAAGCGACTTGAGAAGTTGGGCATCAACAAGACCGAACCCAGCGAGCTAACTGAAGAAGAAATTTCGCGTTTCGTCCGCTTAGACATTAACCCTGATACAATTACTTGGCAACGCGTTATGGACACTAATGATCGTTTCCTTCGTAAGATCACTGTTGGACAAAATCCTACAGAAAAGGGCATGGAGCGTCAGACTGGCTTTGACATTGCTGTTGCAAGTGAAGTTATGGCTGTCTTGGCTTTGGCTACGGATTTAAAGGATATGCGTGAAAGGCTCGGCAGAATGGTAGTTGCGAGCTCTAAAGCAGGCGAACCTATCACTGCTGATGATCTCGGCATTGGTGGTGCTTTGACTGTCTTGATGAAGGATGCTATCAAGCCTACGTTGATGCAAACGTTGGAAGGAACTCCTGTGTTGGTGCATGCTGGACCTTTTGCTAATATTGCACATGGAAATTCATCCATTTTGGCTGACAGAATTGCCCTCAAGCTAGCTGGATCAGATGAGAACCTGGAACCAGGATACGTTGTGACAGAAGCAGGCTTTGGGGCTGATATTGGTATGGAGAAATTCTTTGATATCAAGTGTCGAGTTTCCGGCTTAGTACCAGACGCTGTGGTTTTGGTTGCTACTGTTCGTGCACTCAAGATGCACGGTGGTGGACCTGAAGTTGTTGCTGGTAGACCTTTACCAGATGTCTACACAGAAGAAAACTTGGATTACTTAAGAAAGGGATGTGATAACCTGATTAAGCATATTCAAAATGCCAAAAAGTTTGGCGTCCCTGTTGTTGTGGCTATCAACAAGTTCACGTAAGTAACTTATATGAAAAAAAAGAGTACTATAGCTCTGATCACAAGGTCAATAGCACTGATACTGATGCTGAAATGGAACTTGTCCGTGAGCTTTCTTTGAAGGCTGGTGCTGATGATGCCGTCGCATGTGATCACTGGTCTCGAGGTGGCGCTGGTGCTATCGATCTTGGTAAGGCTGTCATCAGAACATGTGAAGAATCAAAGAAGGACTTCAAATTCCTGTACGATCTTTCACTTCCTATCGACAAGAAAATTGAAATCATCTGTCGTGATTTGTATGGTGCCGATGGTGTTGAATATAGCGACTTAGCAAAGGAAAAGATCGAAACGTATACTCGCCAAGGATTTAGTGGGCTTCCTATCTGTATGGCAAAGACTCAATATAGCTTCAGTCATGATCCTGCTCTTAAAGGCGCTCCTACAGGATTTGTTATACCCATCAGAGACATTCGTGCATCAGTAGGTGCAGGTTTCCTTTATCCCTTAGTTGGCTCAATGCAAACTCTTCCTGGTTTGCCTACTCGTCCCTGTTTCTTTGACGTTGATTTAGATGAAGATGGCCGTGTTGTGGGCCTCTTTTAGTTTGATTAATTACTTAGTATAAATAAAATGAAATGTGTATTCACTGTAGACCATCTTTAAGCGTATTATTTACTTGACATAAAATTAAGAGAGTATGATTGGAGTAAAACTCAGATACAAATGCTACTGTAATTATCGGGCGGACCAAAAGCCACCCTTGGAATATGAAGGGGGGGCTCTCCCACACACTCTTTCTTTTCCTAAGGACAATGTTGCAACGTCGTTTATTTTCTAGTACAAAAGCAGCTGCTGATTATTACAAAATTACCTTGAAAAGATCAACAATTGGTCTTTCAAAAGATGTTCGTGATGCCACAAAGACACTTGGATTATTTCGTCTTCACCAAACTTCATATAAACCTGTCAACTCATGCAATGCAGGTCTCATTCTCAAGTTGAAAGAAATTGTCAAAGTTGAGTTGATTGATCATATTCCTACTAAAGAAGAATTATCAGCAAACAAGCCCTCAAGAGGCTACACAGTTGTCGGCAGCAAATTTTAATATTTATATATACAATATATTTATAATGTACACATGTAGAGAAAAAGCTTCAAAATAAACGTACAAATGTATATCATTACCCCCTTTCTTTTCTTTTTTTTCTTAAACAACTCTTCATCACATTACTCGACAAAAAAGGGGGGCGTCTGGTCCACTTTTTTTTTTCACCTGTCACATAAAGCGCATACATACACACACAGAAAAAAGATCTCTATTTATTTTTATGAAGGATCTAATAGATTCTCTTGTGACAAACTTGACTGGATTAAAGGTTTAATTTGAATAAATTAATGAATTGCAACCGTGCTTAATTTAAGAAATCAAACCTCTCCCAAAAAATAGGAGGATCATCCCAATTGGACAAGAGTTGTAGAAAAAGTGAGGCATGACTTAAAGTACTTGAAGTGTACGAGCACAAGCGAGAGAGAGGTCGATGATAGCTTCAAAGGGTACGATTAATCATAGACACTACAGAGTGATGTATATATATATAACTCTTTGTCCAGACTGGCAGATAAATTCATTGTAAAAGGCAGACACGAACTAGCTGAAGCACTACTGATGTATAAATCAGAGTTCCTGAGCGACTCATTACCTATAGGTTCACCTGAGAGCAATGTAAGTACTCTCAAAAAGCTCTTTTTTGTATTGCTTACTTATAAAGCACAGCAGCAAAAGATTTTAAAGTATGATATGCTTAAACTCTTACTATGCCTATCGTCATCGACACACCATATATCCTATACACCTAAACCCTCTCAGATAACACGGAGTCCTCAATTAACATGGGAGAATATTATTGATGAAGAACCTTTGGAAGGAGATCATTGGAAAAGCTGGGCTGACCAAGATACTTCAACAGAGGAACTCAGTGATAAAGATGCATTTGAAGTGGATGATAGAATATCAAAGCCAAAGGTAGACTTAATAGTACATCTAAACGATTCTTATACCATAAACAGGATTTTACTGTCATGGACAATGAACAAGAGCCGGATTATTTTGAAAGGATAGAGCTTGATCATAGAGAGAATCCAGAAGCGCTACATCATTTAGTCTCACAGCAGTACTGGCGACCTGACTTTTTGGTTTTAAAAGGTAAAAACGATAAAAATGCTCGATTATTACTAACATCAATAGATTACCCAACCGAGTCCTCTTTATTACAAAACCCGTGTAAACTAAGCGACAAACTGATTCATTCAATATATACTGATCGAGATACGAGGTCTCTGAAAGTCATAAATGAATTGGACGTCATAAGAGAAGTATTGTTCTTGTTAAACGGTCGAGAGGGGATTATATTTGAATATAATGACCACCAGCAAAGGTTTTTGGTAATTAAAAAGACAAACTTTATGATTGCTAGCGTCTCACACTTTGCAAAATAGCTAAAGGATAATTATCTCGTTCAGCACTTGAGCCAAGGCGCCCTTATATCTGTACTGAAAGAGTTTTTTTCCTTTGGAAACATTATTTTGAATTTGAGACGAATGGTCATGCATATTTTATCAGAATCACAATACGGACAGACAGCACAGGCTTTTGCAGAAGTTGTCTATGAATCATTACTGGCATTCGAGGGCCTGCTCTCAAATCTAGAGAGAGATACGAGTCTGACAACGAATGAAACATCCAAAGTGGTATCGCTGTTAAAACTAAGAAATGAAATACAAAATCACCTACGATGCTTTCAAGAATTACATGATATCGCAGCCAAGATACTCTTTGTAAACAACAGTCCAATGTTAATAGCTTACTATCTGATATCAACATTATACGAGCACACCTTGCTTAATCAGCTCTCTGGACAGAATACCGTATATGATGCCCTCTTATACGTCTTACAGCGGATCATTGTGCCTTTTGGACGGCTCATGGATGACTGGATGTTTTATGGCTCTTTGAAAGGCGATACTTATAAAGAGTTTTATATTGCAAGAAACGAAAAGATACATATAAGCAGTGCAAATGTTTGGAAGGAAGGGTTCTCTATCATACCATTACCACAAGAAAGTGCCCGCTTTCCTTGTCCATTATTTGAGAAAAGAAACATGGAGCGTATCTATTTCACTGGCAAGGCTGTAAACGTATTACTGCAGGCCGAAAAAATACAAGTAATCAGTTATTTTGATCAAATAGAATAATACAACTAACAGATTTTTTTTAAAACCAGAAACAACAATTGTACCGAAACTATGACTTTAGTTTATTCTCCAGAGTACTACAGAATTTTTTACCTAAAAAACAGCCCTTCATATCTCCAATAGACAACTCTTTTCAGGGATCAACACCGAAAAGAACAGATGTACTAGCACAAAACTTATTCCCCATGATAGAGGCAACCAGAAAACTGAGTAGCAATACTCTGTTTGCAGATCATCAGGATCAAATATCAAATGACGCAGGATGTCTATTTGATCAAAATTTTATTCAATGCGTCGAAAAGTATATAGAACAACCATATGCTAGTACCGCTGAAAGATTGAATAGTGTACTACATAAGCATTGTTGTCTGCAATCTCAGTTGGACTCACTAGCCACTGTCTATCTGATGCTTGAAAATGATCTAATGCATTCATTCTGTGAGATAATATTTACACAGATGGACAAGAATGAGTACTGGTTCGACCAGCGCATATTAAACAGCGTTTTTATTGAAGCTTGCAAATCAAGTGGGTATGATGAGACGGTATATATTGAAACAAGAAAGATAAAAGCATCCACCGAAATCAATACGATGGCATCCATGCTTGAATTAATCGACTTCAAAATACAAGTAAAAAACTAAAACATACATCTAAAAAGAAAATCTATACTTTCTTAGATATCATGGCCATTAAACAACTTTATCCTTGAAGGTAGTCTAGTTCAGTACTCTAAAGTTACTCAATTCCTATTTCGAATAAGGCGTGCAAAGTATGTACTTGAAAAGAAAACGTTCTTCAAAGGTGAAGCTAAGAACGACAAGAACGATGTGAATGCAAAGTTACTTTATGCTCTTCGAATGAAGATGCTCTGGTTTGTAAACACCTTTTGGCATTATATCACGACAACAGTAAGGTATTCGACGCTGTTAAGAACTAAATTAATATATGAAATGTAGGTTCTTTATGTCGAGACGATAGCACTCTACAAAAACCTCTCTAGCTCGACAGATGCAGATGAAATAACAACCTTTCACTCTACATATATGGATCGTATTGTTAAGAGATGTATGCTAGATGACAAGGTACTAATCTCTCTTTTTTTTAAAAAAAAAAAAAAAAAACTTATATCTCACATTTTTTGCAATAGTCAATAGCTATCAAAAGAGCAGCTACTAAAGTATTTAACCTGACAGAGAACCTATCAGACCTATTTTTCAGATACGCCCAATTAGAACACTCAAACAGAAGAACGAGTAGAGAAGATACCCAGGATAGTCTCAGGTTCGAAATTTATGCTTTGGAGAAAGAGTTCAACCACACCTATGAATCTGTAATTGTTGACTTGAAGACGCTAAGTAAGGAAGAAGGAATGCCGTGGTGTAAGTTTTCAATATATAAAACAAACAATAACTAACTTGAAGTATAGGCGAAACACTATCAGCTTCTCTGAATGCTTAAAAGTACGATCGCCTATATTCTATGTAAATAACATACTTGTCAAAAAAAAAATTATGATAAACTCTTTTGAACTAAAAGAATAGTTTTCCATGTCTTTCAAATACTCTCTTATATTTTAATGCTCTTATTGTCAAAGATACAATAATACCAACATGTTTTTTTTTTTCTCTCTTTTGACACGACGATATCTACTTCATTGACACAACCGCTATTACTCTTACAACATCATTTCAAATATTTTTTTTAAGTAAATAATTTATAAAAATACAGTAATAGCATATTAAGAATAAATGAATAATAAATATTTACACCTTGTTTTCATCAGACACCTCTTTCTTCTCGCTATTGATTGCTAATTCTGGTGGAACGTCGCCTGCGCCGTCTTCAAAGATAGCATCAATTTCTTCCAGACTCTTTCCTTTCGTTTCAACAAACCACATGTATACTACGAATAAAGCAACAACATTCCATGCAGCGTAAAAGATGTAAGTAGCCCATCCGATGCGGTCTAAAAGTGGAGGTGTCCATAAACCAACAGCAAAGTTACTCAACTACAAATATAAAGTGAGTAGAGGTTACAAGTAGTGTGAAAAGCCAGACTTACCCAATTAGATGATACAGCAAGAGACATACCCTTAGCTCTTGTACGGAATGGGAAAATTTCTGCGGGATCTATAGACGATATAAGTCATTTGTCAGTTGTAGCGCGTACTACTTACATAACCAGTCTACACAAGCCCAAGTAATACCAAATGTACCGACATAAATCATTGTGAAGACAATAACAAGAATAGCGGATGTCATACCAAGATCTATCTTATTGAATACAGCCATGAGAACCAACCAAATGATCATAAAGAAGCTACCAGACATAAACAAAGGTCTTCTTCCTACTCTATCAACAAGAACTGCTGCAATCAGAGCGCCACAAAAGTAAACAAGAGCAGTAAATCCAGCAAATAGAATTGTCCTGTTGCCTGGACCAAGTACGGCTTCATACATTTTGGGTGCATAGTACTTAATATACTACGTTAGTGATATGTTTGAACTAAATGTAAAAAAAGAACTTACTGTGACAATATTAATACCAGATAGTTGACCCAGGGCTTGCACAGCAATAGCAATGAAAGATCGTCTTGTGTATAATGTAAACATTTCGCCCCAAGTGGGTTCTCCAAGCTTTGCTTCCAGTTCTAATGTAGTCTTGATTTCTTCATATTCTTGTAGTACTTGAGGGTTGTCAGCAGGCTTTCCATACATATCAGAAAGTGTTTCTAAAGCGAGGTCATCCTTTTGCTTGGATAACAAGTATCTTGGTGACTCTGGAAGAGCAAGTGTTCCTACAGCTAAAATAAGGGCAAATACAACTTGCAATAAGAGTGGGCCTCTGAATGACCAATCTGATTCAACAAAACTGAATCCGTAATCAATAAACGCCGAAGACATATAACCAAACATGTTGATACTCATACCCAAGACAGTGACTTTACCACGCTATAGAAAGAGAGGAGTGGTTAATACAAGCGCTCAGGTTCACTGATTATGACATACGTTGTGAGCACGACTCAATTCTGCAGTGTATACAGGGAGGACAGTACTCAAGAAGCCGATACCAAAACCGGCAATCAGTCTACCAAGTAAGATACCAGCCAAGTTACTTGATCCTGTTTGAACTGATCCACCAACAATAAAGATAGCAGCGCCTATTAAGATTGTCCAACGACGACCAAAGCGATCCATGAACCAACTTGTTGGATAAGAGGTGAACCAGGCACCAAGTTCAAAAATTGCAATTATCAAACCTTGTATTGTCGAATTAGGATTTCCAAATAGTTCGAGCCATCGATTATTGACCAAAATACCGGACATGACTCCTTGATCATCTATAAAGTATTTGAGAAAAAAAAAGAATATATAAACAGATAGACTACTTACAACCAAAGAGGAATTGTCCTAATGATGCAAAGCATGCTACAGAATAAAGCAATGCACTACCCTTGAGTAATTTCATTTTTGAAATTGAAATTGAAAAAGTGTCAAATTAATTGTTATTTATATATTGTTTTGGTAACCGCAGACTGCATGACCTATTTTATGACGCTATTAACTTTCATTCTGAAGAAGTATAAAGTTTATTGTTACACTAGATCTGGGGTAACCAGTAGGCGCAGCCCAATCGGACAATTTGATTTCTTAAAATAGTATAGGATAAAATATGCATGATTATCTCTTTCATTTGGATAAATGCTCACATGGGTTTCTTTTTTTTAAAAGAATAACTATAGTAAACAAAGTGTTTGCTTGTATAAAGCGCTGTATCAAAAGAAATCAAGTTAAAGAATACACAAGTCATACATGAATCATAGCTGTGTTGCCCTTATTTCTGGACACTTATGTTTTACGGCGGGGATAATTAAAGTTGGATCCATTTCGTTGGCTGTGGGAATGCTGAATAGCGATTTTCCCGCCCCATTACAAGATGAAATAAGAGAGTATGTTTTTTTATATTAAAGTGTGGATTTTATATAAGAGAGTATGTATTCATAAAATATACGAATAGATTCAAAGATCTATGTGACATAAAGATATGAAAATGTGGAGTAGATCTGATAACAAACAACAAAAGTGAGCAAACTTGTGTAATGAATTGATTCTCAGCTCTTTGTAAAAGTCAAAGATATTCTCATTGATAAATAAATGAAAAAACCGGTATACGCAAGGTAAGCCATATACCGCGCATTAGTTAACTTGTTTTGTACTAATGTAACATTGATAAAAATAGAGGAACTCATTCCCCCCCCAAAGAGACCCTGAGGAGCCTAGAAAAAATTGAACTTGATATGAGGCAATCGATTTAACTATTGTAACTGAATGTATCTATGTAAAAACCAAACTAGCATACACCCACTCTTTGATGATGTATGTATTCACTGTTTGTTGAGCTCAGTTTATAAGTAGATTCATATGGATTATACAATTTCTTTTAGCAAGATCTCAGGGTGAAAATGATGCACTTTTAAAGTAACCAGACCAATTAGCCGGTTACTGCAAAAAAAGTCAATCTTTGTGAAATGATACATTTATTTGTGTGCTCATAATTTATCCGATTCATTGATTTCACTAGTGAATAGTCAACCCTTTTTACTGCTGAAATGTGATATTTACTTTATCGACTTGTTTTTGATATTGTAAAGCTATGAATGATGTGGTCTGGGACATTTGAAAAATACACAAATTAGGAAAAGACTCCCAGGAGAATTTGTCCTTTTGAGCAAAATGAATACCCCAAACTCAGCTGCAGCTTGCTTTTTTTATTACGTCCAATCGGATTTTTAGCAAATGATGTTAACCTGATAAAACCTATCCCGCCCCACTGTTTACGCTATACTACAAGAATAGTCTATAAAGTAGTCTCTTTTTTATTTATTTATTTATTTCTTTTTCTTGCTCCTACTCTTTCAAGTCAATCTACAACAAACATAACAAAATGTCTACCTCAGTGAAAGAAATGACCGTTGCCAGCTGGGAAAAAGTTGGCTCTATTGAATTAATCACAAAGAAACTACCGGAATTAAAGCCGGGTGAGCTTTTGGTTAAAGTCGCTGCTTCTGGAATTTGCGGTAAGTCTCCTATTATTGATATTTATCGTGATACTAACAAAGCCTATAGGCACGGATTTACACATCTGTAAGGGCGAAACACCACAAGCTACTCAAAAGGTCGTGGTTGGACATGAATTCTGTGGATACGTCGAGAAACTGCACCCCGAAACTAAGGCTCTTGTCAAAGAAGGCGACTTGGTTGCTATTGACCCCAACATTCCCTGTAACCAATGTGGATTCTGTCGTAACAAGAAATATCATCTTTGTACAGACCTCTTTTGTATTGGCGTCACTGTTGATGGTGGTATGTCACAATATGTTGCAATTCCAGCACGTGCTGCTGTCAAAGTTCCCTCTCATGTCCCTCCAGAGGTCGCCTGTTTATCCGAACCTCTCTCATGCGTTGTTCATGCTGTTGATAAAGGCAATATCAAAACCGGTGACTCTGTACTCGTTATTGGTGCTGGTCCTATTGGTTTGATGGTAACTGCCCTTGCTAATGCCAGTGGAGGAAAAGTGTCCGTGATTGAGCCTACGGAGCTTAGACGCCAAAAGGCAAAGGAGATCTTTGGTGCTTCTGAAGCGTATGCCCCAGGTGCCTTGGGTCCCGTCAACGGTGCCCTTGGTGAAGGATATGATGTCGTGTTTGAATGTGCTGGTCGACCCAACACCTGCGATGATGCTGTAAAATTCGCCAAAGCTGGAGGCACTGTCGTTTGGGTCGGTGTTGCAAAAGTAGAAGACCGCGTGTCTGTGTCTCCCTATGATATTTACAGAAGAGAACTGACCATCACCTCAACTTTTACAAACCCATATGGAATTGATCGTGCAGTAAAGATTCTCGCAGAGGGTAGAGTAGATTGGAGTGCACTCGTTTCCCACACTTTTAGCTTGAAAGAATTTGATAAGGCTTGGGAAGTGTTTACCGCTGGTACAGGCTTGAAAGTGGTAGTTAAGCCCTAAGCCAATACCCCCCTCCCCTTTTTTTTTCTTTGCTATTATGTATATATAATAAATGACACACATGACACATCATCTTTCTTTATGTAGTGTTTTGGGCGTACGACCCTTAAGGATGAAACTTTATTTATTCCCGAATAAAACATCTATCGAAATCAGTTTTACAACAACATAGTCGTATTTTTTTCTTTGCAAATGAAAACCGGCCAGCAGCTTTCGTGAGTTTTATGTATGTTGGTAAATGAGTCAAGCTAAGCGGCTTTAGGATTTTTTCTTCTAGCAAATAATGTTGATTTATCCATGTTTAAGTCAATGAAACTGCTGTGTTGTTTTGGTTTTGGTTTCTTTGCCTTTTTTATTGACTCTTCATGACCCAATGCCTCTAATTTCATTTGCAGCTCTCTTAACTGTTTATCTGTTACTATTTTCCCCTCGCTTGCTGAAGTCTGTAGGGAAGATGTCTCATCGGTATCTTCTTCTGTTGATGTGTCGTCGTTTTCTTCACCTTGTGCATTTACAGCATTTCTAAACAGCACACGTTGATCATCCTGAGGCTTTGTCTTCAAGTGATTACGTCTTGCCTTTTCTTCGGCCATACGATGCACAGTATAAGAGATATCAAACATTTCCTTCATAGATGCAACTCCTGAATACAAATCTCTACGGGGGGTTACGGTTCCAGAAGCAATGACTGAAGGAGCACGGGAGTTGGCGCGTGAGTTGGCACGAGAGTTTACGACGGATGACGCACCAGATGAAGGAGCAGCCTCCTCTAGTTCCTGTTGATCTCTATTGCGTTCTAAGATCATGCGTTTATAAGCTTCGGCTTCAGTTTCGTGGGGATTTTTCATACGGTTAAGTGCCTCTTCAAGTATCGAAGCTTTGGGCGTTGAAGATATATCAGGTAAATGGTCATCAGCAACTGCACCATTTTCTTTTGCTTGTTCTAATTTCTAAATGATTGGTTAAAAATCCAATACAGCCGAGTGATATATTAGGTAATATCGCTTACTTGTTTTTTCATCCAAGGATGTTCTAGAAATTGCCCGATACTATAACGTTTCTTTGGATCGACACATAATAAATTTTCTATCAAGTCTTTGGCTTCAGCCGAGATATTATCCCACCATGGGCTTAAGAAAGTATAACGGCCTTTAGCTACCTTTTCGGTCAGGACACTAATACTCTCATCATAAAAAGGAGGGAAGCCGCAAAGCAAAGTATAGAGAACACAACCAAGTGCCCACATGTCGACAGATCGGGAATACCGCTGATCATTTACAATCTCTGGAGCTGTATACCCTACAGTACCACAAGGTGTTCTAGTTTGTTCATCCCATATCACTTTGGATAGACCAAAATCAGCAATCTTCACTTGACCGATTCCACCGCCACCTAATCCTTCTACAAACTTCCCTTCATCTTCTTTGGGTTCGTCAAATTCGTTGGGTGGTAGTGGGGTGTCACGTTCCATAAATTCAATTGGTGTAAATAGCAAGTTTTCTGGTTTAATATCTCTATAAATGTTCTTTAGTGTTTCCGTATACGGATTTAATGAAACTTTATATACCTGTGAACAACTCCTTTCTCCTCATGCAAGTATCGAATTCCATCTGCAACTTGTTTAATGCAGTGACGGGCAAGATCTTCACTTAAATAAGTGAGACGGACAATTTGATGAAATAATTCTCCACCCTCGCATAGTTCTAGTACAAGAAAGAAATGCTATCGATGTATTTAGATTAGTACAACTGAAGAATAAACCACCCTTTTCTCCATCTTTCTAATGACATTTACTTCTTTGGTTTCCATAAAATCCAATAGTTTAACAATCGATGGATGATCTAAAGTTCTCATTATTTGCGCTTCTTTTAAAACACTTGCTTTCTAAGAAAAAAAAAGAGATAAGTATGTTATTGTTTACTTAAACAAGCAAAACACACACCTGTTGATTATTTATCTCTGCCTTCTTGACAATTTTGATAGCCACTTTCTCGTTGGTTTTTAAGTTTATAGCCTCATATACTTTGGAGAATGCACCACTAGAGAAATACATTTTTGTGTGGTTAGCATAAGACCTAATACTGTGTATATCTTTGTTGTCCTACTCTCCAAGCTTTGCTGTCAACTGATAGGCACCAAGCTCTGGGTAACTTGGCATGGTATTTTTGGCTTTTTTCTCCTCTTCTACGATTTTAGCAGCTGCTTCGTATTTCTGGCCTCCCAAATAGGAGCTTTTAATGAAATTCTTTATCTGACTGAAAACTGCCATTTATCCCGAAAACTAAAGAAAAAAAAAGAAAACAAAAAAAGAAAGCTCCACAATCTGCAATGGTTTTAAGTTGCCAAATAAAGTTGAATGACCGACTCAATAATTTCTATTATTGCTATTACCGTCACTTAATTTCTATGTGTTGTTTTCAGAATTTAATATCGTTATGAACTGGCAGAAACCCACTAGGTATCAAGTGATGATGATCCAATGTTTGCAGCAGGTAAATTATTTAATTAATAAAGAGAGAAAGCAACTTATGCCAAATGATGTACATTTTATTCAGAAATGTGACCTCTTTATTAATGCTGTAATATCGTTGATCCTCATTAAGGTTAGGACAAACTATCAACTATAAACGTGACTCATTCTATGAAAGGGGGACTTGTAGTCATGAAAAACTATTAAAACTTTTCTTTTCTATTTTTAACAAGGTATGATGATAGCATTCATGCTTTCGGACCTCAGCAGGCCTCAGCAGATGTCAGCAGATTCTAAATTTTATCAGTAATTTGAAAATCAAGACACACTCTTTTTCCCTTGAAGCGATGTCGCATTGTGTCAAAATAAGTTGTGCAATGTATTCAATGTGAACAAATACACATCTTTAATATGCATTCTATGAACTAAAGAACATAAACATTCACGTGATTCAAGCTACAATAAAGCGAAACAATATACCCTGCCTCAAACCTAAGACAAAACAATATTGCGCAAGTTGATGTTTGAGAAGAGCATGAACACATCAATTATTGCGAAACAGTTGGAAATTTATGCTCATATGGTGTATGTATGTGGTCACACGATATCAAAAGGATCCTTGCAGCAACCTGAATACCGAAAAAAAAAAGTGTGATTTCAATAGGAAAAACAGGGTCAGGATCCAAAGGTTTATTGTCTGGGACCATAAATAGGAAAAACCACAAACGTTGTTTTTAAGAATTGGTCGTTTTTCTTGACAAACCTACCTTTATGCGAGCATAAAGCGAAACAAAAACAATCGTCAAATCTATCACGAGTTTAAGTGCAATCTTTGCTTCAAATTCGAATTAAAGACAATCCAAAACCTTCCTAGGATATTAATGTTTCACGAATTGTGGAAGAAAAGAAAAGTGTGTGCGTCTGACCCAGAGCTTGTATCAGGCGCCTTGACAAATCTGTACACTTAAATTTGCATAGTGAGTATGAATAATGAGCACAAAAAGAACTATTTTTTCTCAAAGGCATCTTTCAGTAAGTCGGATTAACAAATACTGTTTTTAAGATGCCATCAACAGGATATAATGGTGTATATTCAGAAGCAAAAATAGCTTTCTATATTCCATGGTTGGAAAAGAAAGTTTGTTACCAGCACTTATCTCAAAGTCTTTGTACACTTTATTTTATGAGGACATGAATTATTAAAATATAAGATGATTATTCATACTTTAGAGAACGATGTTTATGATGTCTGTGATAATGACGATGCCGGTTTTCATCTCTTGTTTTCCCATCTAACTTATTTGACTGTACGAATTCACTAGTATTTCTAGTTACATACCTACTGCTTCGAGTAGAACAAACTGATTTTATTGGAGGAGGTATCCTACTAATGCTTGTTCTTACAGAAGGTGATGGTCTTCTTGCAGATGCTGGAGCTGCAAGAGGTGCAGTAGGCGTAAATGCTGTAGGTGCATTTGTTCCAGCAATCGTAGATCTACTATTATGACTTGTATATCCTGTTCTTTGTGCACCATAGGCTGCTCCCTAATATTCAATTATACTTGAGTTAAAAATGGAAAGGTTAAACATTCTTTACCATTCTTGTAGCCGATGATATAACTGACGAAGCGGTTGGAATAAGGCTATTCTGTTGCTGCTGCATATTTGGCTGAATAGTCTTTCGCTTGAGTTTCTCGTACATGTTCTAAGCTATATGTAAAACATATGCTCTTCCTAATATACGGTTTATTACCTGTAGCTTTTGAAATTGCTTGGTCTTTTCCTCTAACTGACTGTATAATTGTTGGTATTTCCTTTTCTCCATTTCCTTTTCCTTAATCAATGCTATTGTATATGTTATTAAGGTACTAATGTATGCATATGTGCTAGAGTATTTCGTAACCTGACTGTTTCTCTCTCTCGACTATGATAATAAATAAAGAGACTTGATCACCATGTATTATGTTCTAATCGTTATTTTTACCTTTTAAAATATTATTAAAATCGCGATTCATCATATTGTATTGCTCTCTTAATGAACTATGCTTATCCTCTATGTTGCTTTGCAGCATAGATTGAAAGCATAACTCTTGTGAAACTTGATATTCATAAAATGCTATTGCTCGACCACTAATATCCAAAATAACCTCTGGCTTCAATCCAGCTAATACAGACTATATAGGCGTAACGGTTCATTATAAGAGTTTTGTAATTGTCTTTTTAATTACTGATTTATACTGTTCACTTGGATTTAATTGTGTCAATATGATGTCTCCACTATGAAGGAGTTGATTGAATTTATGGCTTTCATCCTTTTTCATTTCCTACTTTTACATACCTTTCCGCTAGACTTGTATTACATGCAGGACAAACAAGTGCCTCTGTAAATTTTCTATTTGAACAATCCAAGCAAAAAATATCTATACACATATCAAGCTAAGAGCTGCAAACAATTAATATAGTGCAACATTGCCGTACGTGAACAAGAAGTAACGCATGCCTAAAGGCATTATTATTCAGCTGTTTGGATTATTATTTTCATTTTTACTTGTATTTCTATCGAAAGAGGCTTCCTGCATTGTATTATATTGCAATGAATATCCGCTTCTGCCATTTTTACTTGTTTGAAAAGAGAAGATCAAAAGAAAGAAGAACATAATTAGCTGCAAAAAATATGTCAACTTCAATATAGTATCAAAATACAAAAGCAGTATACTAACACATAACACTTCTATTGACAACAAATTCATCTATATTCTTTGCATAAATCACAAATTAAATGCTTTATATTGGGCACAATCTTTATCATTCCTGTCCAGGTAAAAAAAGAGATAAAAGCTACTTGGAAAGAGCTAATATAGTCAAAATGCCTCTTATTTTAAATAATAATATAGTGATTCCAACACGCTTAGTTTGAATGTATCAGATGCCATTTCAATGTGATTACGAGAACTTATAAAAAGAATTACGACTACGACTATCATCTGTACGTGAACGTTTATTGAATTTATGCTCTATCTACCGCAATCACATAAATTAACTAATGCTCTAATCATTAATAGAGAATCTTGTCCAAATAATTTCAAGTATGAGTTTTGCCTCACAAATAACCACTCGCGCATGGAGCTCAGACGCGGCTTCTGAAAATGCTAGTAGTTGGCTGTTTCATGAAAAGAGGTAATCAATATTACTAATAATGTAGTTTCTTCCCAAACCCTGATTTCAAGAAAGACATGTAAAAGCTCATTTTTCAAAGTTGTCAACAAATGAGCGTGACTCGTAATTCGAGTGATGCAACCTTTCACAGCTAATAAGAATGCTTTATAATCAAAAGAGTGCGTCAACGGGTATTTGTAGGGTCACGTGATAAAAACAGGATGATTTGATTTTTGCTTTCTCTGGAAAATGTGAAGGGTCTCGTGATGTAATTGGTTAGCATATAAGACTCTGAATCTTATCATCCGAGTTCGAGTCTCGGCGAGACCTTTTTTATGCATTTTTCACCGGATAAATGTTTTATCGTTCTGCTGCTCATAAATATAATTTTTTGCTGGTACCACTTTTGGTAACTGTCAATATTGGTAACATTATGCATGCATTTGCAAGTTTCAGCTATTTATCACTTATCGTATTCTCTCATTATTTTAAACTATATATTATGATCTTACATTACGTATATTTTTTCCTCTTTGGATTAGTACTGTAGCAGGCCTGGTTATTTTTTTTCTTTCTATAATTAGTATATTATACAACGCAGATCTCAAAAGGTCTTTTACACCTCAAAAGGTCTTCAACGCCTCCAAAGGTCTTTTATTATTATTATTATTATTATCCATAACATTTTCAACGATATATAAATATCCTCCTATTTTATAAAATAAAAAGTAGTGAATTCAGTATTGAAATAAGTAGTAAAAAATAACTACTCAATCACTCATCCCTTTTATCTTCTTTTCTTATTTACCTTTATACAAGTCTTAACGACTTATCTTCTTATTATATTTTTTTATCTTTTGATTTACTTACTTAATTGATCTGACAAAGATCTGGTGGTCACAAAAAAGCAACCTACTCGTACAAGGATATCTAACTTTTACAAGACTTAACGTCTCCAAATCTATTCAAATCCTACTTTAAACTCTTATATATAAGGCAGCCTAGCAAGACATAACCTGTCACAGTACGAATATCCCAAATTACTCTTGAAATATATGACATCAAGTCAGATCACAATAACTTCTTCTAATTTATCTTATAACTTAAGCAGCAATTGCTTAACAACCTTTTTACTTTACTTTTTTTACTTTATCTTACAGGCCTTAGTACTAAATTACTCTATATTGATCTTATGTTAAGATCTGGCGATCACTATAATGCCAGATTTTACTTATATACCCTTTTTTAAGCCTTACTACTAATACATTTCATCTTACTAGCACCCAATAATATTTCTCTAAAGAGCCAAACACTTTCTTTCAGGAACATAATTCCAATGTCATTCTTCTTGTTGTCACTCTTTTAAAAGAAAATTATCAATTAGTAAAAGATTTTTAATCTATTACAAAGAAAACGCTCATATATCTTTTTGTATCTACAAGTTTATCGCAAGAAACTATTATCTTACAAAAAGCTCCGGTGGTCAAACAACGACATATCGTCAACGTATTCAGCAACTCTTTAAATTAACTAAATCAACTTAAACTTTAAACCAACCTATACACAAAACCAAAATTCACACTACATTATCCAAGCTCAAAACTTGGTTCTTGCCTACATTTTATCATCTTATAAATAAATCTTTACCTTAACAACAGGTTCTTTGTTTATTCAAAGATAAAGGCTGAAAGAACATGGAACAGACTTTATTTTTACCATCAAATGGCTGTAAGTCACTATTCTAAGTGTGGAATGTAAAAGGATTTGGTTGAATAACGGTTCCTGATATAATTCAGATCATGAAAAGAATAGTGAGATCAGTATCAGGAACAAATTAAAAGCTTTCTTTACCAGTTCTTTCCGTTTATTGTGAAAATGTTTAAATTACTTTTTAATGAGTATATCCTTTTATATATGAAGGAGAAAGTAATAACTTATATAGGCTTAATGCTTACTTCGTATAGTTCGTATTCATTATCATACACTATAGCTTTATATCAAGTGTGTATTATTCTCTTTCATTGCTTCTCAACTTGATACAAGCTAATTCTATGTTGTTACAGATAGAAAATCTCTTTAAAATGGTATTAAAAAAAAGTATAAATGATGAAAAAGTGTACATGTGTTTATTTTTAAAAGAAAATACAAAGAAATGACATGGTGAGTTAATCTATTAAAACCTGAATACTTCCACTCTATAGACTGGTATACCTTGCTCGCCACCGAATTTGCCATTCTTTTTCTTTCTAAAGCGAGTCAATTCATCATATGGTGCGTCCGCGTTTTCTTGTCTAGCTTTTCTTTCTAATGATTTCTTTGCACGTGCATGCTTATGTTTACGGTTGTAAGCACCTAGAATATTTCTCAACTGCTCAAGGTCATCGATAACCTCAATCTCATGAGAAGTCAGTTCACGCAAAGTATGAACAATAGATTGTAATGATGGCTCCAAGATAAGTGTTGGGAAGTGAACGTCCAATATACTGTTGCAAAAATCGACAATCTATATAAGGAGCAATAAGAAACAGAGTATATTAGATAAATTAAACGACTTACATTGCTGCGATTGTTTAAATTTGAGGATTTTTCCTTTAACCAAACGGCAAGTGTCTGTAAGATAATAGGTAATTCGGCTGCATTGATTCGCTTTAGTGATTGCTGAAGGAAGATATCATTTCTAGGAGCTTCTACGATTGACTTGAAGTATGTATTGAATCTAGCGGTGTCCCATTCTTTGCTATTTTCATTATGTATACTAATCAACGCTTTTATGAGTGTTACTAAGTCATTTTCAGGAATATCATGAACTGTTTCAAGTATAATAGGCAAAAGTGCCCATTCTTTTCTTTCCAGGAGCGCGTTGATGATGCCTTTTTCGCAATAGTTACTACGAATAAGTGACTTCTTCAATAAATAAAGAAGTACGTCCACTGGCCAAAAACTGTTGTCTCCCTTTGATTCAAAGCAGCGTGAAACAATCTTTGAGACAAAAAATTGTGACAGTTCAACCGACTTCTTTTTTGAAGGCTGATATCTGTTCAGCATAATGTTGCGATATTGTTCTGTCTTGGCTTCAAGATGGGCCTCTGTCATAGTTGTATCATTATCCTCGGTCACATCAACTCTCTTCACACGAATGTAATCAAAGAATGTGTCAACAAACTTATCTTCAGAGACATCAGGACGCAATAAGTCAGCAAGCACTTTTGCTTCCACATCTTGAATCTTGTGAATTTTCGATACCCATTTTTCATAAATTTCATCAGAGTCTTGTAAATCGGCTGAAAAGTGTATTTCACGCATCACTGTTTCTTTTCCACTTCGTGAATAACCAATATTGTCTACTGAATCAAGATTCTCGCTGATGCCCATGAATTCAACCGTTTGCTTCATCTTTCCCATAGCTGCCATTAAAGAAACTGGTTCGCTGTAATAAGGACAGAGCATGACAACTGAAGTAGTGTCTACAGTCTTCTTTGATGACTTTCCACTGCTTTTCGAGCCTTGTGCATCTATGAATGAAATCGTGATGGCTAAATGAGAGTTGGGTAAAGTGGCAATGCTGCAAACACAGTTCTTGTTGGCTACGTTTTTCTCTGATGTCTTGATGGTCTGTTCTGCCTGTAGTGTGCCATACTTGATATCCCAGACGCTCACGACATGCTCTGCTTCGCTGCTATTCTTCTTGTTTCCTGTTCGAGGGGCGATCATGGCCACATAGCTATCGCCCAAAGGTGCAGTAGCTGCTACGTTACCCAGAGACTTGTCACTAAATCGGTATCCATTCAATTTGATGGATAAATGTTCGGTCAAATGACTTGCAATCTTCTTGGATGAGCTATATTTTAACTGTAGACGCCATACTGTCCAGGTGCCAGCTACGCTCAGGATAGTCAACCGTCCGTCAATAGGGTCTAAAGTGAATGCGATAGGTTTCTCGGCTAATTTAATATCGATGCTGGCAAGGTTATCTATACTTCTACGTTCGACATTGACATAATCAAGCTTTACTGTGTAGGTGTCTGATCCAACAGAGTTGCTGACAGTAACAACAATCGTAGATCTAGGAGGAACCATTGAGGAAGGAATACAACAGTGAGCATTAGAAGTAACAAAGACAGTAGACCATGCAACACGAGTGTTCTTCTGACCCTTTTGCTTTGCAATTAAACGTTCGAGATCTTTGGTGTTTAATTCAACAGATCCACTTTCGCCAATCATAATAACATGTGATTGTAAGACAGGTGATATGTGTATAGCACTAATACGTTCATCAAACTGCAGGATAGAATGTTAGATTGATAGAATAATAATAAAAGAGATCTCTTACACTTTTGGTAATGTGGTCCAAGTTGTCATTATCGTTGTTCTTTATGTTCTTCCATAGCCAGACTGTTTTATATTCTTCGTCCTTTAGTAAATCAGGGCTCGAGGCTATAATGGCGTAGGTGTAATCAGTTGATTCAGGATCACTACCGCCGTCCTGATGAGTAGCTGGAGCAGCAAAGAGAACGCCAGGAGGTGCATTCCATGACTTTATACACTTTTGATCTATTGTCTAAAATGGAGGTGAGTTGATCTAGTTCTTATAGTACTGAATAAAAACTGTCTTTACATTGTATATCTTAAAGCCTTCGCCCTGAACAGTGACAGCTACTTGATCAGCCGTATCAGAGCGATCGGCAGTATGAATGGGGTCCAAAACGGATTCCAAAGCATTGATGCTGACAGTGAATAAGCGACTACTGTCTTCATTGAGTTTCTTATTAAACCGTGCAAGTGGAAATGCTTCCTCTAAGACAAAGCCTGGCATTGAGTATTATTGTAGAATAACAAAAAAAAAAGATACAAAAAAAGTGTAAATAATTTGGCAGGAAGTGAGGCTTAGATCGGCGTTTGAATGAACCGTTTATTGAGTTTATGCATTTTTCCAAGCAATTTTGAGTTGAAGACTGACGGGTAAAGCTGCATCTGTCACAGTTATGTATTCTCCTTCACTTACAAATTCGCTCAACAGCTTATCAAGATTAGGTAAAGTGGCCTGGTTTAGTGCCTTTGGAGCCTGCATATAGATGGACTTGGTTGCTGTACGCAAGCTAGGCTTTTTCAATTGTCTATTACAAGGTGTATTTAGTTCAATACCATTAAAAAAAAGAGAGCTTACGTGTCAGATCGTTCGGTGAGGTATTCAATTAGCTGATCAACTGTGATGTCTTTATCAAGCTCAGCTGTCTTTGATTCATTTCCGCAAACTGGACATTCAGGCTTCTTTTGGTGTTCAAACGTATAGGTATACACACCAGCATCACCTGTGTACATCATATAGTTGTTAAGATGAGGAGCTACGCACGTGGCTAGTTTATAAGCTTCGTTGCAGCATGATGCTGTTATATAATGTAAGCGTTACCTTATAAAGCATGATGTTTTTTGTTTTTTACCTGCAATAATTGCATTGGTGGATGCGATTGCGGGAATGATGTTTTTGACTACACCCTGAGTGAGGGAATAAGTAACGCCAGTTATATTGAACTGCTTTGCTCTTGTTAGAGCTTGCTGGTATAACCAATTAATGTCCTCTGGATTGTCTGTATCATACTTTTTTGATCCCCACACACGTGGCCATTCCAAGACGGATGCCCATTCGATACAGTGTTCAGGTAAGCGTGGTGTGTTTGCAATTGTACAAATAGGGAATGTGGTAGGTTTACTGAGCATGTCTAATGAACACTCATAACAAGAGGTGATTGTAGGCAAAATGATACGAGCCTGTCCCTTGAATCCCTCAGTTCCTCCATCGATCAAGGGCTTCCATGTGTGCTCCATATCATCTTCATCCACCATTTCTATGACCTTGGCATTAATCCATCTTCTTGCTTCCACCGAATCAAGGCCACAGATGATCAGCTGAAATTGCTTATAGTACTCATCATCTTTATCTTGTATCTTTCCAAAGTAACTATAAGGCAATCGTTAGTATGTCACATTATCTTATTCTGTTATACATACGGTGTCACTTGCACACCAGGTACTCGACTCATAACAAACTCTGCGGCAACCATAGCCTTTGACTTGCCAATATCCTTTTTTCTAAACAAAAACTGACGGTTGAGGTTGCTTAGGTCGATCGTATCCATGTCAATAACGTGTATTTGCTTAAATCCAGTCAAGGCCAAATTCTTTAATATTTCGCATCCCAATCCTCCTGCGCCTATAACAAGGATTTTGCATTCTTCAAGTGCTATTTTAATCTATCAATTGTCAATAATGTGACATCATAAAATGCAAACACACAAAACACACCTTTGAAGCATCGAGTGTGTCAATGATGCCTTTCTCAACATTATTTTCGTTTGCGTCTTGCATATCAACATCTGAAGGTGTTGTTGCTGCCATTTCTTTTTTTTTTTTTTTGTTAGTAGCAGGAATAAAATAAATAAATATACATATTTCACCTTCGTCGCTAAGAGAAGTTAAGGTTTTTTGTCTTTTAGATTCAGGCATTGTCATTGGTTCTTGTCGTTTATTACTCTCCATGCAATGGTTAAGAAAAAGAAAGAAAGAGAGAGGAGGAGAAAAAAGAGTGTTTATTTTTTATACAAGTCAAAAGTACGTGGGGGTCTTTTCTCTTTCTCTCCGCGCGCGTGTGTACATTTATTCTTGTTCTGTACGCGAAGCTACTAATTCTAAGTTATCATCGTAGCCATCTATAATGTATATAAATGTGTAAATCAACTATTTCGAATAACAAAAAGTTCTTCTTACGCTTTTGAAAATCTTTTAATGTTTCTTCTGGTTCAGAAACTGTTTGCATGTAGTACATTTGATAGAATCCTGAAAACAATAGGTTATTGTTGTCATCTACTTCAAAGGATTCGATAATTTCATCAATCACAGAGTCTTCAAACTAACATTAATGTTTAATAATCATCACTTTTACACATGATTGCCTTTCTTTACAGGACGACCATTGGTAGCTGTGGCAAAATCTTGAATTTCTTTCAAATTCCATTTGCCATCCTTGTCCTATATATGCATTATAAGTATATGTGCTCACACACAGAGAGAGATATCAGACTAGCTATTTACTTTATCAAAGTTGTCAAATATAGCTCTTAAAATCTACCATTCTTTTTTAAGTGGCGTTATTATCAAAGGGGGGAAGGATAAAGAAAATAAACCTTCTCAGTCTTTGGCGTCAATTCGCCTGTATCTTCATCAAACAATAGATGATAGCTCGTCTTTTTTTCTTCTTCTGACATGTATTAAAAGCAAAAAGTAAAAAAATTTGATGAGTTACAGTATTTCAGTCTAAAATTAGACGATTTCAAAAATTTTATTGGACAGTTTTTAATTTCAGTCTGGACGCATTTTATTTTTTTTGGACAGGTTCAAAAATTAAATTAGACACTTTCACTTTCTCAAATCAGACGTTCATAAAAAATTTCTGGACCTTTTCCCTTTTCTTCTTTAGTTATTCATACATATTTTACAATGGATTTTATACATTATAAGCCTGAATTTGATTATTATCCAGACAGTGAAACGGATGATGAGAGAGATGAAGATTTAGCAATGGATTATGGTTACATTCTGCAATTAATTGACTTGGACTCTTGCGAGCCTGTTTTTGACGTCAAAATGGAGGAACCAATCGAGGAGCCAATAACAGTAGAGCCAACAATGGAAGAGATTACCACTGATTTTAATGCGATATCTATTACAGATAACAGCAAGAAGAAGAACAAATATGGCCCGGAGCAGATTCGTGCTTTTATTGAGCTTATTCAGGAAGAAGGGTTGAGTGTGCCAAAAGCTGCCAAGCAGTGCATGATTCCAAGAAGTAGCGCATACCTTCTACTAAAGGAATTCAATGCAGGTAGTGGCGATGTACTTCCTGGTAAATCACTAAAGAAAAAAGCGAACAGAGGTACACCTGTAAAGCTTTTACCTGAACATACGGAATTTCTTGTAAAGCTCTTCGATAACAACCCTTCATCGACTCTTGAAATGGCTAAAGAGGCATTATGTAAAGATTTTGTCGGATTTACTATTTCTTCGCAAAACCTTTGGAAGCACTTGACAGAGAGCTGTCATTTTTCTTTGAAGCAAGCGTCGAAATACAATGCAGATAGAAATTCTGAAAGAACTCTTCTTCGTCATGACATAGTATGCAAATGGAAAGAAAATGGTGTTGACTTTCAAAAGAACTGTGTTTTTATTGATGAGGCTGGGTTTCATACTTAAATGATGAGAAGTCGCGCATGGTCGAAAAAAGGCGAACCTGCTATTGTACAAGTTCACAGCAGACGTGGAGCAAATGTTACAATTGTCGGCTGTATTTCTCCTTTTGGAACCATCAACTTTTCTAAAGTTGAGCCATTGAAGCGGTCAGATATGGAGAAACTCGAGGAGGAATTTAAGGAACATACAACTAAAAAGAGAAAAGCTAATGTTTTGGAGAAATCCAAGTCGAAACCTCTTAAGAAAGGAACAGCCGCGTACCATATTGTTAAATTTATCGAAGCTGTCATGGATGTTCTTGATAAGCATAACAAAAAGGGAATGTTTATAGTTATGGACAGCTGTAGAATTCACCACTCTGCGTTTGTCGTAGATGCAATTAACAAACGAGGCTATAAGCCTCTTTTTATGCCTCCATATTCTCCATTTTTGAATCCAATTGAAGAATGCTGGGCTAAAATTAAAAATAATATCAAACGAAATCCTTTAGACACTAACTCAAAACTCACGCCACGAATTGTTGAAGCATGTCAATCAGTGGCTGTTGAGGACTGCATGGAATGGGTCAGACACGCAGAAACTTATTGGGATAGATGTATGAATAAAGAGTTGAACCATAAATAGCAATAAAACTGTAAATTGTCTTTCAGAAAGTAATTGATTCTGTCCAGAAATTTTTTATGAACGTCTGATTTGAGAAAGTGAAAGTGTCCAATAAAAAAGTGAGATCCTCTGAAATCAAACAGTTGCCGAAGTGGAAGGAGAAGATGAGGTGGTAAAGGCTCTTTCGTGCCACGCTTTATTTTCAGATAACATATAATAAAAAAAAATGTTTTCAATTCCTATTTCTTTAGATCTTTGAGCGCTGCTAACTTATTTTTTCTATTTATCTTGGGAGGGGAACAACAGCGAAGAAAAACAGTTGAAAGTTGAAGGGCGGGAGACCACCTCATCTTCTCCTTCCACTTCGGCAACTGTTTGATTGGAAGTCATACTTATCCCAATCATTGTTGCCTCCGTTCCAGGTTCCGATGAGGTGGTAACGTTTTCCGTAGTAGAAAAAATGGTG